CTCATTGCGGGACCGAAACTCAGCAATCCTCGCGGAAAGGACGAGGACCCGCAGGAGGCTCCGTGCGGGGCAGGAGCTCCTCCCGGGCCCGATCCGGCCAGGCGAGGCAGTGGCCCAGGCCCCGGGGCACCCGCTCTGCTCCTGGATTCCTCCCTCCAGCCACCAAGCAAGACACTGCCCGCTTTTTTTTTCTTAATCTCTTCTGGGCTTCCAACACTGCAATTAAATAAATAAGGCAATTGGGAAACTAGGGGCACAGCATCTTTCCCTGACATTTCCAGGTATAAGTAAAAACACACATACGATAACAATTATTAAAAAGCAAAGCGATCCACCCCTGTCTGTCCTTCCCTGGAAATGATCCACCTCTATCTTAGCCCTTCCCTGGAAATCACTTGTTTTGACTCTGTCGCGAGAAAGTTTCATTTCAGAGGACGATGGCGATGCGGCTCCGGGGTTGTTTTGCTATGTTTTATTTGATTTAATTTTTTTAGGTGGGGGACGGGGGGGAGGACAGGGAAATAAATGACGCTTTTGTTTTTTAGGGATTTTTTTTCCTTGTGAGTCTATGTTTAGTTTTAATTTTCCTGTATTTTAAAATAAACACGATGGCTGTCGCATGTTTGATCTTTGCAAGGAGGAAGTCTACATTGTAGAGGAATGTGCAGCGGTTGGGTATGAAAATGGGGTTGTGACTCACAGCTGCAGGCAGAAAAAAAAAAAGGCGTTGTGGTGTCAGCCAGAGGTGTTCGCTCTAATAACTCAAGCTGTAAACTGTATCCCCTAAAATTACTTACACAATAAATCACTCCAGGGATTTAAAAAAAAAGAAAAAAAAGAAAAAAAAAAAAAAGACTGAAAAGTGTAAGACAGGAACAATCTCTTAGAAGTTACCTGCCTGAAGATTGCTTTGCAACCACGCGAATTAGAGGTTTAATTTTTCCTGCATTTCTAAATGTCAAATTGAGAGAGGTAATTGCTGTAGGAGCGCAGGACGGAGTCTACCGTGCTAATGCCATCTGGGCGTGCTAGGGAACAGCAGCCTGAACCGGCAGTGCAGACCCCACCTTACCTGCTTCACAGCGCATTTACCCACTGCCACAAGACCAAACCTTCCCAAAGTTGGTTGGCGAGTGACGTGCTTCTGTGCACCCTGAGGAAAAAAACATGGCGTTTCCCCTCTGCTCTGCACAGACAGGAACAGAGAAAACGAGAAAGGGAGCTCGCGGGCGAAATGCCTGCTCCTCCGCGGTAATGCCATTTGTCTGCCGCAATTAAGGGCTGGAGGTAAAAAAAAAGCCTCGTAGCTTTTAAGGAACTGGGATGATTCTTAAGAAAAAGTCTTCCCCTGTTTAAACTCGGCGCCTTGGTCCAGGGACCGGGGAGGAAAATTAAATACTTAAGGGGGAAGGGAAAACAAAAAGTTTAAAGCAGAACGAGAGAAGAAACGCTAGTGGGTCATTCACCAGGGTGGCGACGGGGCTGCATCGATGCCCTGATTTTTGTCCCACGTTTGGGCTGGTTTGGGAGCATCCCCCAGTAGGTCGGGGGCCTGCAGTGCTGTGGCGGGGAGGACTCTTCCCCTGCCAGGGCAGGAAAGTTGCTCTGGAGATTTGGAAGAAGAGAGCTGGACCACGGAAAAGAGACATGCGGGAGAGAGACTGTGGGAGGTGGGGGGAGGCAAAAAGATTTCCCTTCCTGAGTCTGCCATAAATGTTACGTGGGGGAGTCAACACCAATTAAAATCTGGGCCCCGCGTTCATTAGTATTCATGACATAGGATCTAGCTTTTATGTTGATCTTTCTCCCCGGATCAATATCGCAGCAGCATGAGCCGGGAAAGAGCAGAAATCTGGTCACTGCATGGGGCTGACCTTTCACTCCCTCCCTACAGGTCAGAGCGTCTTCATCAAAACAGGTCAGAGCGTCTTCATAACCAGCCCCACCTAATGCAGCGCCAGCCCCGCGCTCATTAAAACGTAGGCTTCATCTCCGGGCTGCGGCTCGGAGGAACGGGAGGGGGGCGGCTGCAGCTCCTCACGGCGGAGTTAGGGCTTGAAACGCGCGCCCGCGCACACACACACACACACACACACACACACACCCAAACTCGGGATGGAATTGCTCTTTTCTCTGCCACAAGCTACTCCCTAAACCGGGAGCCAACCCGACCCCGACCTATCTGCCTCCATCCTGCGAGAGCTCCGCCAAGATCCCGGCTCAGGTTATTGGAGCAGATCGGCCGCGGGGAAGCCCTTGCAGCCCGGCTGTGCGGAGCCGGCTCTCTCGGAGCCTGCCCTGCCCTGCCCCGCCCCGCAGAGGAGCCCGCGCGGGGCCCACCCACAGGAGCGGCCGGGGCGGGGCCACGGGGCATGGGGAGGGGCCGGGGCAGAAGCAGGTTCCCCGGGGGCAGCCTGAGCCCTCAGGGCTCGCCCCTGCCGGCAGCAGCAGCCCTGCTCCAGCCCGCAGCCTCCCCCACTGTCCCGCCCGCAGCCTGCCCGCCGCTCCCTGGCAATGCACGGATGACCTCCCCCTCTCCGTGCTGGGCCCGGGGGCAGAGGGGATAGCCCGAGCGGCTCGGGGGCGCTTTGTGCAGACAGCACAAGCAGGGAGCACCCCCTGGTCCGTGCCCCCCAGGAGAGGGGCTGGGGCAGCGGGGCCAAAGCTGCTCCCGAGGGCGTCGTTGAAGGGGGAGGGGGTTGGAGCGCTTCACGTCTTCAGAGCCGGTGCGAGCAAAGCGCCAGCTGCAGAGGCTGGCGCTGGGCAGGGGGCGGCCCCACAGCCCCCGCGGCCGGGCGGGGGCCCAGAAAAGCAGGCTCACCCCCCGGGGCCTGGGTGCCCCGCAGCCCTCCTTGCTGGTCCCCGCTTGGCCCTGCTACCATAGCTAGGGAATGAAAGAGGGCTGATTTGCTACAGGCCGAGGGCTCGGGGGAAAGGGGAGCTCCTGCATTGCGTGCACACGGGGCTGAACAGCGGGTGTGCTGCCTGCTGCAACCCGCTCGGAGACTGCGGGGAGGGGGGGCAGCAAGCCTGGTTCAGCCGCTCGCGCCCCTTTGCTGGGCATCTCCGGGCTCTGCCCTCGGGGGCAGCCCGGCCGCTTGCAGAGCAACACGGGGCGGGAACAGAGGGGGCGGCTGGGGGCAGGGGCAGAAGCGGGGACAGAGGAGCAGAAAGCGGGCAGAAGGAGAGGGCAGGGCGCGGGGAGCAGCGGAGGGGCCACGCGGCGGC